TACGGGGTGCAGTCCAGACAGGTGATGGGGTGGTGCGGCGACAGCGTCTCAAGCCTCGCTCCGGGGTCCCTTTCGGGGCTGATGCCCGCAAATATGCAGAATTACCGGCCGGGTCGCTCCTAAAGCCAGCGCCGGGGAGCGAGCGCGGCGGCGGCCAGCACCGGGAACGCACCAAGGAAGAGGCCCAGCCCCCGCCCTCCGCCCCTTCCGTCCCCACCCCCTACCCGGCGGCCCAGGAGGCTCCCGGCGCGGCGGGCGCGGCGAGCGCGCACTCCCTGCTCCTCCTCCTCCTTGCTGGCGCTGCCTGCCTCTCCGCACTCGCTGCTCGCGCCGGGCGCGCTCCGTCGGCTCCCTGCTCTCCGCGCCACCCTTCTCCGGGCCGCGCTCCCTGAGGGATGGTACTGAATTTCGCCGCCACAGGAGCCCGGCTGGAGCGCCCGCCCCGCGGCCTCGCCTCCCCGCCGAGCCGCCAGCGCCTCGGGACGCGATGAGGACCTGGGCTTGTCTGCTGCTCCTCGGCTGCGGATACCTCGCCAATACCCTGGCCGAGGTGGGTGCCACCCCCGCACCCGGTCCCCTCTCCAGCTCCCCCGGCGCACGCCCCCTGCAGCCGCCCACCGGCCGAGGCGCCCTGGGCTCCGGGGGTCTGCAGAGCGCATTTTGATTTCTGCTAAGGTGGTCGATTTTTAATTTTCCCAACTGGGTTCTATTTTCTGCCATGTCTAAGTGTGGCTGGTGAGTTTCCAGCGTGTTGCGTCGCTCTGCCGTGGAAGGACAGAGTGGCGGCGGGGTCGACGAGTGGGGAGAAACTTCGGGGGGCGCGAGCTCCTCTCGGAGGAGGGAAACCCCGGGCTTGGCGGACAATGCAGCATTGGGGTGCAGGGAGCGCGGAAGGGGGTGTGTATGTGAGAGCCGGCGGCTCCGGAGAAGGGAGAAGAGCCGCCGACAAGCAGGTAGGGGTGGCTGCTGCAGGAGTCCCGGCAGGCTGGGTGGGCAGCATGGAGCCGCAGCTCCAGGTTTTCCATCCCCACGCCCGGCGGGACGGCTAGCCCGGTGCAGTCCCACCCGACCGGGGCCTGCTTACAGGTGGCTGAGCGAGGCGAGCCGGGGCCGGGCCAGGCGCCCGGCCCTCCCACCGCCTGCGTCCC